AGTTTGGGACACTGGATGCACCAAAAATTATTTTAGGACACTGGGCGCACCTGGAAAAATAGTTTGGGATGCTGGACGCACTTAACCCGTCAAAATAATACATATCAGACGCCTGCATGTCCGCTATGTAGGATTTTTCGGTCATCCTTCGGCTGAGTCAACAAGATAACAGTCAAACTTAACTTTTCTGTTAGCATGGGATATGGACGCACCGTTTTAATTAGTTTGAGACACTGGATGCAAAGAAAATTACTTTAGGACACTGAGCGTACCTGGAAAAATAGTTCGGGATGCTGGGCACACCTTAACCCTATTTTTAAGGGTATTTTAGTTTTTTTCTTCCAAACATAAGTTATATAATTATGATTCCCGGTCACTGAATGCTATACACGTGATATGACCATAATGTTAAATGGAATCTAGCCAGGTGCATATGTTTCATTATATGTACTAGGGGTGTTTTTTAAAAGCCTCATTTAGCTGTTCAATACAAAAGTGTGAAGAAACAATTTGAAAATAAATATTACTACATTTCTTTGTTTAATATTTAACAGCTTTTATTGTTATTATATATTATCTTTTGAAGTTATTTTATTGTCTGGAATCCTCCATCATCATCATCGTTCACTAAAGACAAATTAGTAACACTCATCCCTTAAATATATGCATGTGTGCATGCTAGTGTGGGCATTATCATAAGTATTATATCATTTTTTTCCAATAAAGCTTCCACGTCACTTTTTTACTTTTTTTTTTTTTACCAGAATACATTGATTAACGGCAAACCCGAACATTATAATTATTACACCTTTGGTCCTTTTTTTTTTAGTGAAAACAACTTTGGTCCTTTGTGGACTTGTTAAATTATTTTTATCTTAAATTATAATTGCTAGGATTTTTGCAAATATTAATAGATTTTTAAACTAATTCCGCATACAACTGGTGTAAAATATACTATTTACACTAATTGCTTGTACAACTGGTGTAAAAGTATTAAAAATGTATTTTAAGAAAATAATATTTACAAGTTTTTAGACTGGTTTCTCAGTCTATCTAAAATATACTTTCTATACCAGATTTATTTTACAACCGGTGTAAAAAGTTTTAAAAATAATTTTTTAAAAAAATAAATATTTACAAGCTTTTTGAAGGTGGTTTAAAATCTAAATATTTAACTTATTTCATTTTGCGGCTGCTTCTTCTAAACCAAACTTCATTCTCTCATAATCTCTCTAAGTTTTCTCGCAATCTCCTTTCTATACTTAATTCACCAATAACCTCAATGCTAGTCCTCTTCTTCATGCTCTTTTTCTTTCTATTGTGATGTCTTCTTCATGCTTGTCTCCTTTATGGTGCGTCATCTTCTCTGTACTTGTCATCTTCTTCATGTTCATCGACTTCTCCACAATCATTAGGTAGAGATTCATGCTCACACCATCCAGATCTGTGCCTATCCATCCAGATCTGTGCTTATAGTGTCAAGATTTGTGCTCATCGCATCCACACCTTTGCTATCTAGTCTCATTACATTATCATCCAGATGCTTATATTTGCCTAGATCTATACTCATCTTCATCGTCACTATATTTGTTTTAAGTTTATACTATTTCTCTATTTTTCTGTTTAATGAATAATTTTGAACTTTATTTAACAAATATATTTTTATTGTATGAATCAATATCATTTTTGAAAAATTTGACTAGTTTTTTTTTTTTGCAATCTTATTAGATTTGATTGTTTCTACTCTTATGCTATTTCTTATTTGTTGGATTGTTTGTTGCAATGTTATGACATCTGATAAAATTCTAAAAGAAGCTATGATTTAATCACAACTTCTGAGATTTTATCAAATATCATAAAATTGTAGTTCTTTTTTTTATTTTTTGTTTTATTTTTTACACCAGTTGGAATAACAATCGGTGTTGACGACTGGTTTTGCAACTGGTGTACAAAGATCGGACTTTTACCACCACTCGTTTCTACACTAGTCATCTTTTCAATGTCAAATGCTCATTCTAACTGGTGTAAAAAAACCTTTTTTCTAGTATTGTTTTCCACTTCACAGTTAAATACATTTCAATTTTTATTTAAAAACTTTCTATTTCTATAACACACTTGTAATAAATTTTTCAATAAAATTTTATCACAATACAACCTTAAAAATTAACATATTTAATTTTGTAATTAATACATTTCAATTCTAAATTAATAACTTACTATCAGTATGAAATGATCAAGATTAAAGGAGGAGTATTTAATAGAAAAACTAACTCACCATTGCTCTCTTAATCAATTTTTTGATAGACAAAAAGTTTTCTTCATTTAGAACTCTTACACAACACGAGCATTATAGAAAATTCTCATCACTCTAGGTTTCTAATGAAAAAGATATTAGAGTTATTTCATAAAATTTTAATATTCCTGTGTAGGTCATGTGACCTGATTAGGACTTCCATAAATTTAGTGACCTGGATAAAGATTTGGGCTATTTAAGTATCTTTTTAAGAGATTTTTTCTATAATTAAATTAATATATCGGCATCAAGATATTATTCCCCTATACCATATATATCTAAAACAATTTATACTACTTATAAATCATGAATAGTATGACTAATAACTTATTCTATAGCACATTTGTATTTAGTTCAAGTATTAGTTATTTTTTAAAATACTATTTCATCGATTAGTTAAATTAAATTTTATGAAAAATATTATTACAATTTAAAAATGATGTATTATTATAAAATAAAATCAATATGGTCATTAGAGCTGTTATCAAGGGTCGACCTGGCCTTAAAAAGCTATCTCTTAACAGGCCAGGACCTAAAAAAGTTAGCCCTTTAAAACCCACATATCATAAAACCATCCTATTATTGAAGCCCGACCCTAAAATATATGGGCTCATTTGTAAACAATTGAGAGGTGTCACTCACACTTACAGTGAATAATAATTAACGAACGTACCAAAAAAACAATAATTAATGAAAAATAATGGTAAGTTATTTTAATAACTTCTTAAATTTTGGTAATAATAATAAGAATAAACAGGCTTAAAAAAGATAGCCCTCCACACTAATTAGTTGACTCTTTTATTTCTAAGTCTTATAAAAGTAAGCCCTAAAACACTGTCTATTAAGCAAGAGGCAAGGATCGAATGGAAGTCTCTTTGATTGGTTGATCTTATTCGTTACGCTGCCTGACCCCCCACCCAAATGGGTTTAAAAGGGTTGACCCAAGAGGTTCAACTCGTTTTTATAGCTCTAATGGTCATATTAGAATTAAGATAATTATCTAAATACAAAATTTAAATATTAAAATAAAAATATTATTAGATATCCAAATCATCTTCTCAATTCTTAACTAATTAAGACTAATATTTAATTCTGTTTAACTCATTATAAATCTTATTCTACAAATTGTTAAAGAATAAAAAATGTATAGTAATATACATAGGTGTGTGTGTGTGTATGATGTTTTATGAGATTAGTTATAATTTTCAAGCCAACAAAGGTTACATAATGTAATTTAATACTCTCTCCTATCATATTTATAAGTTTTAAATTTAGGAAGAGGCATGGTCCATTTCATAAACATTAATTTTATTTTATTTTAATATTTGATGTGCTTTTTCAATTTTGTTCTTGATTATTTATTCTCTTTTCTTTGTTATACTCTCTCTCATCACATTTTCTTACATAATTTATTTTGTATTTTTTTCCAAATTTAGCATAAGGGAATATTTAGAAACAAAAATATATTTCTAATTTATTTATTACTTTTAACTAATTTTAACTTATTTTTTGTTATCCACAAATAAGTTATTTAAACTTTATACTCCCCTTGATCCATAATATAAGATGTTGTTGGAAGAAAATTATGATCCAAAATATAAGACATTATCAGAATAATTAATGTAATTTTTTTCACTTTTGCCCCTATTAAATATAAGGGGGGGAGAGATCTTTATTTTTTTAGGGATAAAATAAAAAAAAAATCTATCATTTTAAAACAAAAATGACTAAACTTTTATTTCTTAGTGAGAAAATTAATCAAAAACAGATGGAGTAATAAAAATAGTTGGAAGTACTGAATAACGTTTGTTTTCAGCTGGCTAATTAATATTAGTAGTTGGCATTGACTAGGAACAAATGATGTATTGCTTAACGTGCCTCTCCTTTGAGGATAATGGTGAGTGGACATTGCTTTAGGTCTCCTCGTCAATTTTGTTTTAGGCTTTTTAGCCCAATCAAAGAGTCTTTCTTTGTTACTGGGGCGACTATCCTTCTTCCTCAGCATTGTTGTTGGTGCCACGCGAAGAGGCAGATTACATTGCCGTTCGCTTTTGGCCCCTTTTGTATATACTTCAGATCTAAATAAATAACCGAATCCACAATATAAATCACTTTAATTAATTTATTAATATCAAAAAATAATAGTTAACTCATTAAATTCATTCTAAACTAAAATAAAAAATTTTAACTTGATTTATATGAAATGAGATTGCAAAAAAGCGTGTAAAGAAAAAAAAAGTATATATTTGAATATTAATTGCAGAAATAAAATTAATAAATAAATATTAATTTCTTTTAGTGATGAGTAAATATATTAAAGGGATAAAAACGAGCAAAAGTCGCTGAAGACCCAAGTTTAACTTTTACAAAATGGTATAATTGACGCAAAACAGGAAAAAAGAGCACAGTCCAACATTACCCATTTTAAACGAGGTTGTAAAAGAAAGAGAAAAAAATATTACATTTCCTTCAGTGAATTAAATACATTGAAGGGATAAAAATGAGCATAAGTCACTGAAGATCCAAGTTCAACTTGAGATGCTTTACAAAATGGTATAATTCATCCATTGGTTTCCGATTGACCCTAAATTATATTCAAAATTCATGCGCATAAATACATGGAAACAGCATAAGAAACTGTGTTACTCTTCCTATTTAAGAAAGTTAAATAAATTACTTAATTCTAACAAATGCAGCATACAATCCCTTCAAAATAGTTCTATGTGACATAATATATCATTTTATAAGATAGATAAATTAGTTTGATAAGAAATAGTAAATACGATGTATAAAATTAATTAAGGTTTTACATTTAAAATTAAAATTAACTTCTTAATTGGCTTTTATATCTAAGACGAGGAATACTTTACCAAGAAACATTGGCAAGAGATAATGGCGTCAATAAAACAAATGGAAAAATGACAATTCTGACTAGTCTAAGCTTCTGCAACACCTTGAGGCTGCGTCATCTTCCGTTTAGTCTTCTTCACCGTCTTCTCAGCTGTTGTCCCCTTATCCTCCATCTCAGTTTGACTTTCAATCCTAGCAAACACTGGCTTAGGTTGAGCCATGACCTGGCCACCCTTTAGCCCACCCCACTTAGTGTCTCCCTGCAAAACAAAACCCAACTTCAATCAAACATTAAAACCTGTGGGGGAGGGGGGGAGGGAGTTGGGGGGGGGGGGGAGGGGGGAAGAGACAGACCCAGGTTGCCGCATCGAATTGATGCCTGGAATAGCCAAGCTGAGCATATATTCTCCAACTCAAGCTTGGAGCCACGGGTGATAGCGCAACCGCAACGATCCTCACAGCTTCCAGTATAATCACAAGGTCCTACGCAACACCGTTAAGAATCCAGCTTAGTCATAGCCATCTTAACAGCGGCAAAACTGGTTAGCGCATGTTTGGGGCAGCATTCACACACCGTTAGATGTTGAATTTACACTCTACCCAGACAAGGGAAAAAACGGTGATATGGTCGTCAAGTAATAGTTTGAGAAAATAACCTTGGCAGCTTCTTCTGAAGCGGCAGCCCCTTGCTTAAAAAGAGACCATGGTGCACGCTCATCCATGTAGGAATTACCAACATTCCCAATCTCAAGCACAGCCTCACAAGCTGATGACAATGAGAGTTTCTCATAGTGAATCCCAGCTTTCTCAACCTGTTAATGTACACATATTAGTTAACGGCCAGGTCAAAGGAATCTCCCTGCACACCACTAAAAAGTGAAATTTAGCTTTAAAATATGCAGAGATGTTATCTAGCATTGAAGAACCAGAAGACAGAGTATAGAAAAGTGCATGTCTGTCCGCTTCTGTTTGAAAAAGCAGGAAAATGCAAGAAAGAATTCACGATGTGGTAAACAAAGACTGATGCTAATTCTGGTTTGTGCACAACAAAATAGAAAAGAATTAATATGACTTTTGTTTTTTTGGCAGGTTTGTCAGAATTTTATCAAGAATCCAAACGTGTTCGACTGCACCATTTTCCCTCATTTCTACAACTGGATCTTTTATTCTATTGTGAAGGAAATATTTTATCATGTCCAAATACCTGAAGTACAGGAAGCAAAAAAAAGAAAAAGAAAAAGGAAAAAGGAAAATAATATGACGTCCGCTTTCAAATCAACTGGGGGAAAGAATTACTGATTATCAATAAACGAGGAAAATGATATCTTGACAATGTCAATTGAATGACCCTAAAACTTTTTGACAGTGAATATACTCATTTGTCATCACACATATCTGTAACTCATAGAACAGCTTTCGAAAGGCACGAGCAATACCAAACCGAGCCTTAGCATAAATCAGTATGATTTTTGGCACTAGAATATTCCTTCATGATCATTGGCACAAATGGTGCGATTTATGTACCTACATAAAACTTTAGTTTCAAACCACATGAATGAGACATTTGCACCTAAACCCAACTTCAGCTCTCATAAGTAAAAGCCATATATTCCTGTCTCATCACTGAAAAACATGGAAAAAGGGTTTTTCTCTCTCTGTTTTTTTTCCCCGAAGCCACAGTTAACATTGGCACAAGCACTACTAAAATGACATACAACATAATATTTTAAGAATACTAAAATTTCCTAGGGACTTTACCAGCTTCTCTATATTGTCTCTGAATGCATTTCCTTCTGCCGCAGTAGTGGAATCAACAATTAAAGTAGAATCACAGTTCTTTTTTAGAAGTCCTAGGGTCCGATTAAGAAGATTTCCTGCGAAAATATTTTAACAATAAAGTTAGATGAAAAATCATGATAAAAGCAATGGTCCAGTTCATTCTTTGGCAAGCCTCATAAGTACCAATTGTATTGGCAAGATGTGCATTAACAATATTGATGAAGCGTTCCTCTGAATAGTCCCCATCATTTCCAAATTCCACCTCTCTAAGGAAGAAGTATCTAACAGCATCTGTCCCAAATTTGTTAACCAAATCATTCGGCTCAAGCGTATTCCCCAATGACTTGCCCATCTTCATCCCATCCTAACATTGTCAAGATAAAAAGCATTGCTGCATGAAATAAACTCAGCCATAGGAAAGAGATCTGTTATCTCTTGCTCATTCACAAAGCTAGATTTAGTCAGAATATGGGTGCCGTGCGGTGGTGGTGGTGGGGGGGGGATGTGAATATGCTAATGATGGACCTAACCCATTCATCCATGGTCCATTTAGGAGAAAATAGAAAGAGCAAAGCCAAAGGGTGAACTCTGAAAGTAGGTTCAGTACAGAAAGATGCTAGCACTAAAATTATTTCAAGAAAAATGTATGATAATGTACAGGTTCAGCTCTTGATACCTTTGTCAAAAATCCATGACCAAACACCATCTTGGGAAGGCTCATTCCTGCAGACATTAGCATAGCTGGCCAATAAACTGCATGGAAGCGCAGAATATCCTATACAAAGTGGAAACAATAATTACAAAAAATAAATTATGCAGACCGAACATTATGCCACTTTTCAATACCTTTTGCCATTTTTTGCTTTGTCAAAAGAATAGAACGACACAGTTTGCAAGACTACCACAAACGGAAGGCTGCAATGTGTATATCCATAGGAAATTAACATAAAACAAGGAAGAACAATTGCGAGTTGAAAGCCAAAGCAACATTTTTGTTACCCTTTAGACTCTGAAATAACAGACATAAACAGAACAGAGATCAAGTTAAGAACAGGTAAGATATAATTATCGGAGTATCTTAATCAACTATCAGGTTACTGCCTCTTGATTTAGCCAAATGATCAGATTTGATCCTGTGGCCTAACATCTAGTTTCTTTTCTAACCTGATTGTTTCGAATATCTCATTAACCATGGGATTTCTTTTCCTCTTGATTAAGAACAATGGTCTGATCTGAATCAGATCTCATCCTAACTAGCATTCTATTTAGTTTCCTTGATTTATGTTATTTGGTTGAGTCAATTATGCTGAATTGTTATGTTTATTTCATGTTTTTCCTTTTTCAGCCGAGTCATGGGTCTTTGGTGACCATATAAAGTTATTTTATCTCTGTTTTCTTACGGGGACTTCACCATGCAGTTCAGCCAATTTCAGGCGTTGGCCACAAGGGAACCTCCTTCAACGACATCGCACAGGGAGTTGCTATTGGCAGCATCAATAGCCTAGCCGAGTTCACTGTAGGACATCATCCCAAAGGCAGTAACTACCAGAGTTGGTGCTACACCTTATTAATGCACATTTATGGCAGAAGAAAAGAAAAAGATAGCTAAAGAACCTAACTGTAGTGACACCATATACAAGCATAATATTGTGATCGGCAGAAAATAATCTTATTATGCCATGGCTCATTCACTCCACAACCGACAGGGTGAGGACCGCATCCTTTATCACACATTGGGAGGTTGCTAAGGAGTCTTACTCCTCACATGAGAGCTTAATAGCATGTTGTCAACCATTATTTAACACAACAATGCACTATCGGGAACAAGAAGACATCTACAAACGAAGTGGGCAACAAGTCTTGCCCAACTGATGCTGCCAACTACAAGAAAATCATTGAAAGGAAAAGGATACTTGAGCATATGTCGGGACTAAAACAAAACCTATGAAAAGGTAAAAGGATGAATTCTAGGACCCAAGCCACAACGATATCTCAGAGAAATTTCATTTGAGGTGAAACAAGAGAAAAGGTGGGAAAAGACTTGCTCAAGAAGCTTAACCAAATGCTCTATCACACGGCTAGGTGGCTTGTGGAACCCCAAATGCCAACAAGGATCTTAAACCAAAACCACAATAAATCTTGGTGTGACCACTACCAAAAGGCCAGTCATACAAGAGATATCTGCCAGAAAATAAATGGAAAACTAAAGAAGTGGAAGCCTAAACAAAGGGAAGGAAACGGGTATGAGGAGACCAGTGAGGAAAAGCCTCATCGTGATTCATCCCTCTTAAGCGAGGAACAAATGGAGTTATAATGTGAGTTATTTGGGCAGAGTATAACCCATACTGAAGCCACTACTAGTACAGCTCAAACAGGCAGACTTCATCCCGCTTTAAGTTCTCAAATGCAGTGTTGATTTAAAGACCTTTCTTGCTTCAAAACATTTTCATTGATTGATTTGTAACGTACAAGGCATGGGAACTCATAAAACAAAGGCCAATAAATACCATAAATGTCAAGATACCCAATAAGCAGCACCACTCAATCTTATCAAAGAAAAACAAATGACATAATGCTACAAAAAATGTCATAGAAGCTGATTTTTCCACATGCAGCCTAACATCCCTTGGATCGTTGATTCCAGGGCAACTTATGATATGTCGATTTATGCTTTTCCAATTAATTCTTTGGCATGTAAAAGCATCATGATGCAAAGGGTCACATGGGTCATTGTCCAAGTTAAAGGGGGGGAAAAAGTATCATGATTTCCAAACACTTGATGTAAAACGGCTTCTATATATGCACAATTTACATTGTAACTTGCTCCATTAGCAGGCTCTCGAGGGATTATAATGGTGTGACTAAGATTCTTCCTAATGGCTTGGTCTTTTATTTCCCCTTGGATTTTCCCCTACATTCTCTTCCATTGTTTCAATATTGAGTGATAAATCGAATGCTTCCAATCATTTAAGAAATAATTTGTATTCTTCAAACAATATAGAGATATTATTTTTTCTTTTCAAACTCGTGTTCTGTTAGAAACAAGATGGCATTCCAGTGTCACAGGAACATACAAAATGTTGGTCAGAAAGGTCATTTACCTATCTCATGCAAGAGCTAATATAAGTTTCTCTGTCTATATGGCTGGTGAACACATGAATAAACCGACAAATGAACACTAGAATTTTTAGGAAATTTTTTTTGGTACTTGAAGATGATTATGACCAAAGGAATCTTTTCCAAGAAAATAAGAGTAGAAACTTTGAGGTCTCTAATAACGCAGATTGGGTGGAGTCCAATACAGCAGATCAAAGTTTGGCCTCAAGATATTGGCATTTTTCTGTGGGGCATTGTCATAAAAAAATGAAGCAGAAAACAAGTTGTTTCTCTGGACACATGGAAGCAGAGTTTCAAGCTCTTGCCTACGGAATAAGTGGAGTATTGTGGCTCAAAAGCTTGGTGAATGAAATGAGGATATTCATTAGTAGTCCAATGAAAGTTTTCTATGATAATTTAGCATCCAACACTATTTGATAAAAATCCAATGCACCTCAACAAAACCAAGGGTGAGGAGATGAACAGACACTTCATTAAAGAGAAACTTTACACTTGAATCCTAGATTTGGTGTATATTTCTCCCCAAGAGCAAGCTGCTAAACTCCTAACAAAGAAACTACCTAGAGTGAAATTTCAAGGTCTTGCTAAGATGCTAGATATGTTGGGCATTTATTTCCCAACTTGAGGGGGAGTGTTGCATATTTAAACCATATTCCCTAGGCATGTATTGGAGTCATCCAACTTTACCCAAAAAAATTTCAGGGAAAAAAAAATGATAAACTCATACTTGGCACATTATTCCGTAACCATGCATGACCCTTGCCATCCCAAGCCAAACACATGCTCATAACAAATAAACCATACATTTAGGGTGCTCATGATTTTATTATTAACTTCCCTTTAGCACCCTATGTAGTTCTAGATTAAAAGAAAACGTCAAGATTGAAAACAATTAGCAGCTTATAGATAACAATTCATGTACAAATGAAATGTTCGGCCTCACACATAAGGAGGCAAAGATAGAAAGCTTAGGAATGTAATTGGAGTGTAAAAGAAACATTGAGACTTAAAAGAGCAATCGTACAGATTGTCAAATTGTCACAAAAGACTGGAAATGCAATTAGAATAACATACCTTCCCAATCAAATGTAGTTGAGCAGGCCATGCAGAAGAAACCGAATTTAGTAAATCGGGCTGCTCCATGGGATCAGATAGCGCTGATATGTAACTGCATAAAAAATGTATACACAAATAAAAACTAATGTGCTTAATATGCAATTCAATCTACTAAAAATATTAAACACTACCAGATTTCTAATTTTCTATTTTATATCTATACAAACAGCTGCCAACAAGCTGTACAAAAATCAGCAGCATGTTTACAGTTTTTAAAAAAAAAAGAAAAAGAAACTAATCCACACTACTATAGGCAATGATTTGCAACTAATCAAATCAAGCCAAGGAAACATGGAGACATAGTGTTTACAAATTATAAAATAAAATAAAATAAATTTACCCTAGCAAAGCATCAAACCAAACGTATATAGTCTGAGTCTTATCATTTGGAACAGGGATACCCCAATCAACTGATGCTCGGGAAATGGAGAAGTCCCTCAGGCCATTTTTGATCCAGCTTTGGACCTTGAAAAGGTTTAAAGAAACTAGTTGTCAAAGCAAAAGATATCATAATTAAAATCCTTTGAATATAAGTTTCCAAAAAATATATTACACAGTTTTTTAGAAAGTTCAACAGTCTAATAGCTAAACAAGACATGCAACATTGTTTTTCTAGTAATTTTGAGGATGGGATAGGAGAAAGGTACAGTTGCATCTTGCTTGAAAACAAACCTGATCTAACAACTTCAAGGTCGAGTTTTTTTTCAGTTTATCTTTTCTTTAAATTCAAATAAGAGATAGCTAAACAAATTAAAAGGTAAGTTCAAGTTCAGATCTAATGAACATCAAATATTGTGGTCTGACCAGGCTGGATCCAGATCAATCAGGGTCCAAAGCACTCTAAATAGCAGGTATACATGCAAAAAAAATTTAAAAAAGGTGGCAAGATCGTTCCCCTTTGTCTTTTTCTTTTGGAGGGCCCCCCTTGGTTCATGTTACTCTAATAATGTTACAAATATTTGTTCTCAATTAATCTCTTGAGAGTAGTGGCAGTGAATGCAATTACAACAATTGTGAAGCCTATATTTGCTAGACTCACCACGAGTAACCATGAGTACAGTAAGTTTAAAATTACTAGAAACTTATGCCAGTAATAGTGCCTTGTATTCTGTTTCACCATTACTCTTACCAATGTTTAAAAACCGGATAAGATCAGCCAGTTCAACTTGGACCAAGAACTGGCTCCTAGTCTGGTCCAAGACAACCCCAAAAACTGTCTGAGGCAATGGTCAGACAACAGCCAAGCAGGTAAAAAAAACGATTCAATAGGTCAAAACTGGACCGATTCTTATCATGAAAACTGGAACAAAATTTAAAAAAATTAATGCATGCCAGAATTTTGAAAACTTTGGGCCTTGAGCTACGATTCAGTATAAATCAAAGCTTAGCCACATGATACTCTGAACACGTGTCCCACTCTTCCACTTATCCAAAACCAACATCACCTCCTTTAAAAATATGCGATGAGAGACTCTTTCCTGACACTATGCACACATGACAAAAGACACAGGTCTTTACACTCTTTTCTCTAACTTTTCTTATTCTTCTTTGATCTTTGTTGATTTTGGCTGCGTATGTCTTTAAGGTTTTCTTAAAATGTAAGCATGTCTTTTTTTCCCCTATTTAAAAGGGCAAACACTAATTACTTAAAATTATGAGCAAGATTGAATCTATGACTTTCTACTTCTAGGGGAGTTTCCATGCCACTACTATTAAGGCCTTTCACTAAGCATATCATTTTAAACTTTGTACTTCCCATTATTTACCTACTTCTCTTGTTTAGATTTGATCTTTTTAATTTACTTTGATATAACTCCAAAAAAAGTGAAGTGCTTTTGATATTTTTGAATTAGAAGGGCAAGCACTAACAGCCTAAAGTTACAAGCAACGCCGAACCCACAACCTCCAATTTACAAGAGAGCTCTCATGACACTGGGCTACACAACCACTAGCAAAGTGCCTAGTAGTTTATCTCTAAAAGACATCATTCATAAGTAATATTAATCACATATTCATCAGCAATAGATCATATTATCAAATATTTATAATATTTCATAAAAAATAACATATTTTACATTTTTCCTTAGTGGTTTATAATATATAAATTAGAAATATAATAATTTAATATCAACTGGTTCGACAATCCAACCAATATATGGCTTGATTAAATGACCAATCCTGTTTTTTAGTACCCAATGATGAATCTTTTATCAATAACGGGGGTTGCCCAATCAGCATCATAATCTTTAGGCACCTTAGAATTCTATAAACTATTTCCATGTGTTCTTTAGTGGGTTCATTCATGCAATGACTGACAAATAGTTGCTAGAAAGTAAATGTTCAGCATGAGACGTCTTACCTCGTTAGAACGGAATGATGGTTGCACAAATTTTGGGTTTTGGTTCAAAAGCTCTTCTAATGATCTTTGATATTTTGACAGTGCAAAGAAATAATTAGCCTCTTTCCTTGAAACACAAGGCTTAAGATGCACAGGACAACAATGATTATCAAGCAATTCACTCTCATCCTGCATTATTTTGACAACTAATACCATTAGATTTTTGAAGTAAAAGAGAGAAACCAGTATTATAAACAAAAAAGCCAGAGGCAATAACCAACCTCAATCAAAATATTGATATCAATGAGAATATATCATGTTTTCATATGAAAGAATAGTAATAGACAACATAAAAGAGTATTTATTATATAGGACAAAATCACATAGCTATTACAATAATGCTTTCAACTCCTAATGTTGTAACTTAACATTTGAATTATGACCTTATATTCCTCACAGTTGACACAATAAAGTCCCTCATAGTCAGCTTGGTAAATGTCGCCATTGGCAAGCACCCTTGAGTAAAATTCCCTCACCACTGCTTCATGTTTGTTATCAGTTGTTCTTATAAATTTGTCATAAGCAACATCTAACTGCAATAAGCATGTAACAACAGGAAAATATCAATAAAAATTAGCATATGTCTGGAAACATCCGTTTATGAATATAAATAGAATAAACCATGGCTAAACTATCAAAATGTTAAATTACATCTTTCCATAGTCTTCTGTAAGACTCTGATATGATATCGCAATGCTCACGAGGGGAGGAACCCTGGGCCATGGCAGCAGCAGCAATTTTTTCCCCATGTTCATCTGTGCCGGTGATGAATATAACTTTCTTACCTAATAGTCGCTGCAACAAGATGGATTCAAAAGGGATAAACATCACACTCTAATATTGAATCTACTATTTTGTTCAAAGTAACCACAAATTGCAGAGACACTGCAGATAGCCAGACGTATATGGATTTTGCAGAGAAGCTAGATTCCTAATAGCCAGAAAACTGCGGGAAGACACTTAAAATCCAGAGTTAGCAGAGCCAATCAAATTTTAAGCTTTATACTTAAACTAAAACTCATTGTATAATATGCAGGTTCTGAAAAGAGTTCAGGGCATATGAACTCTAATATACAACTGTATAAATGAATTGATATCAGATAATACCTCAATCTTTTTTCCTAGTCCTTTTTTCTCAACTAGTAAAAAATAAATAAATAAATAAATTCTCCCTCAAGAAACCATGGAAAAATAGACAAATGAAAAATTATTAAACATAAGCTCTGAAGTTAAAAAGCATTAGCAAAAGTTTATTACCACATAAACCAATTAACAAATGCTGCAAAACATAGACCATTTGCTTAAAATTTCACACTCATTACCCTACCCAAAATCTTGATAATGAATACAAGGAGAATATTAAAATGTATCCCAGCAAATCCACTACTCCGTCAAGGTAAGGAAAGCTTACCACCTCAAACTCCAGAATACAATACAAAGGTCAAGGGATGTCACTTTATATGGATAGCACAACCGAAAAAAACAAAGACCCTACAAAAGAATTTTTATTCATCCAAATAAACAATACAGTATAAACAAAAACTTAAAGATCAGTCTTTCCATTACAAAATGAGTAGAGCTAACTTTTAGGTTAAGAGCCGTAAAAGGAACATAACTTCTACCCTACAAAGCAGCATTGAAATCTAGAAGTAGAAGCAAAGAAGTACAGTCTAAATCTTCCTCAGCAGGATTCCTACAGAATTATTGTTGAAGGGTAAATGAACAAGAAAGTAAACCAACTTGCAGCGGTGATGGTAATAGAATCTACCTGAAACCGAGCAATAGCATCAGCAGCAATGGTGGTGTAAGCACTACCCATGTGGGGAGGCGCATTGACATAGTAAAGAGGGGTTGTAATGACAAATGGTTCTGGAGACTCATCTTTTGGGAGGGCATTGTTTTTGGCCGTGCAAGTGCAAAACAATGCTCCGAGAGTCAAGTTCTGACGAAGACGGAAGCGAGCATTGAAGTGAGTAGCAGATGCTCTGGAACTACAGGAAAGAAATGAAGGCTTTAGGATGCATAACACGTTATTGAAGTGAGTAGTTCCTGCTGCCATTTCTGGTGAGATATCAGCTACTTCAGGAAATGGTGACAGTCCAGCATCCTTTGCCAATTGCTTTAGATATCAACCCTTAATGGCCTAATTAATATACCCATACAACCAAAAAAATACATGATTATTAGTTTGCCCAAACAAAAAAGCAGGGAAAGAAGAAAGAAGGGAAATTTAACAATTTACTCCATACAGTTGCACAACTTGTACAATTTAATCCTTATATTTTAATTCGGTACAGTTTACTTCCTATATTCTTTCTATCATCAAGATTCATCACTAATGTTCAGAAAAATTCTTCATCCCGTAAAACTCATCATACGTCGCAGCTTGCGGGTTAAACTTTGCTCGGGTGGCTTCTTTTCCTTACTACCAACCTTATTGGCATGTCCACCTCTGTCATTCCCTTGTTTCACTGAACCTCCCTCCAGTTCCACCAACACACCACTTATACTTGATACCTCCCTTCATGTTAATTAGCTTAGAAACTTTCACAGGCCCTTGCCCAAAAACTTGTAGAGCGAAGCAACAGTGAAAAAAAAACCGCTGAAAATCCCGGGGGGGGGGGGGGAACCGAAGAACAGAAGCAATGAACTCGAGTGAAGCAATAAAAAATCGAAGAACAGCCACCCAAGATGCAACGAAAAACTCAAAGAAAAACTCCAGCCCTCTCTATGAGTTGTTTCTGATGACTCATACCCCTAGTGATTCACAAAAAACTCGAAGTCATGTACCTTGTTTTCAGAAGCCGATTATTTACGCGCTTCAAATGACCATGAAGCACTGAACTCAAGTTTTGGTGACTTGCATTTTGGCCGAGAGAACCTTCAAGTGAGGAAGATAGCGGCACCAAGCGATACATTTCATAACGAGAAAAAGATAGGGAACATTTGGCTCGCGAGGGAGCAATTTTTTCCCCCCTTTTTTCACCAGCAATTTTTCCCTGTTATTCTAGGACGGAATTTTAATATTGCAATATTATACTAACTCCTATCCTAATTATAAGAGTTAGTTGACTAATTTAAAAAAAATTAAGAAAACAAGTTAAGTTAGTTATTTATAATAAATATGTGTTGTTTTTTTTTAAATATTCTTGCTAATTAAATGTGTTGGTTAGAATTATTATTGTTAGAAAGACTACCTTGAAAAAAAAATATATAAATATGAGAGACAAAATGGATTGGGATATTATATTTAGGACCAAAATAAAAGTCAAATAAGGTCTTATATTAAGGATCGGAGGTATAAAAACTCATTTTATTTTTATTTTAATTTTAAATATAAAATTCCAATTCACTTTATCTTTTATATTTATTTATTTTCTTTTAAGATTATCCTCCTTAATCACTAAGAATATTATAGAAAAAATAATATTTATTTACTACAAATAACTAACATAACTGATTTTCTTAATCTATTCAAATTAGTCAACTAGCTCTTATATTAAGGACCAGAGGTAGTATTTTCTTTAGACATATTTTTTTGATAAAAAGATAAAATGTATTAATTAAAAAGATAAATAAAAGTTTATTTAATAACAGTTATATGCAGACATAAATAAAGATAATAGAAGAGAGAAAAGAGTGAAAAGGTCCCAAAAAAATCTATTTATCCTTATTTATTTATGTTGATTTTTAACTTTGTAAAATATTTAATAAAAGGGTTAATACAAATTTTAGTCCATCAAATTTGGGCCCATTTTAGTATTGGTCCCTGAAATTTGAAACGTGTGGTATTTGTCCCTCAAATTATTTCTGTTTGAGACCGTTGGTCCCTGAGTTACTGACACCGTTAAAATCGTCTGATGTGGCATTAACACTGTTAATTGTTGAGGTGGACACATTACTTGGCTTATATGTGGCATATGACCTACACATTAAAAAATAAATAAATAAACTAGATGCAAGCAAAATCAATACGCACACACCATCGAACACTCACTAAACACACACACGGACACACACCAAAAAACCAAAATGTGCGCCACTGGAAGGAAAAAAAGGGGGGAAAGGGCTAGGTCAAGAGGACCCACTTATGCTGGCAATTACTGACGTGGCCATCGCTGGAAAAGCAGGTTCACCAGCGACCGTCGTGGGAAGAAGTTGTATAAGCTATTTTCACTTGCTTCTGTCCGTTGAAAGGTGAGGAAGAAACCGTAGATAACCATTGTGTTCGTAGCTTTTTGGTTGAAAGGTAAGTGCTGCAATGTCATGCAAAGATCAACCTTTAAATGCATTACTTGAAAGTCCCGTCCTCTTTATGTAGCAATCTTTTCGAAATAATCTTCACATTGCAGTTATATTTTGCATTTGAGTTTAACCGACTAAATGTTTTGGTTTAGATTCTTCTATAGTCAATGTCTGTGGGTGCTCTATTTTGATTTGTCTGTCTTAAACCCATTCGTTTGACGTTGAAGAAATCATGTATATAATTTGATCCGTAGGTATAATGTGTTGTTGTTAGTTTAAATGATTTGGTCCGTAGGTATAATGTGTTGCTGTTAGTTTTTCTATTTTGGTCCGTATGGTTCTTGCTTTGTTGACATTATGCTCTGTTTATGTTTACATTAATTTTGGTATCGTCTTGACTGCTCTTATGTAACATTGAGTTCCATTTTGTTCTAGTTTAGTTTAATATTTTGTGTTCACAAGTTAAATATGGATAGGGAGGAAGAGAGAAGTGATAGAAGTGATAGTAGTCGGGAGGAAGGGAGCGAAACAAACTCAAGGTCTGTGTTCACAGACTTTGAGAATAGTGAAGAGGAGCAAATTAATGATGATTATTTTTATGTAGATGTGGGAGTAAATGATGTCTTAGAAGAAGTTGTAGGGAGTTCACAATTTATGAGAGCAGAGCCTCATGATAGAGGACAAAGTAATGTTGTTGAGGCTAGGGAGGAAGATATATTGGGCCTCTTATCTGATCATGAGTCAAAGGACATTGATGAAAGTGAAAGGTCAAGTGAAGAAGAAGATGAAGGAGAAGGCAAAGTGAACAGAGTAAAATATAATCCCGTAGAGATGTGCAAAGAATTTAAATTCATGTTAGGTGTAAAGTTTAGTTCTATTGGTCAGTTTAAAGATGCGGTTAGAGAGTATGCCTTACTCCATGGATATGAAATCAAATTTGTAAAGAATGATAAGGTGAGGTGTAGGGTCAAATGTGCACATGTCGAATCAAGTGGTTAATGTTTGTGAGCCAAGTGAGAGGTGAGTTAACATATCGATTGAAGACACTAGGCTCTAAACATACATGTGAGGTATCCATAAAAAGGAAGAATGCTAGCTACAAGTGGATTGCAGAGAAGATAGTTCACATAATGAAGAGAAACAAAAACATTAAGTTGGCAGATATAATTGCATCAGTAAGAGAACATTACATGGTTGATGTTTCAATGTGGAAGGCGTACATGGCTAGAAAAAAGGCCAAGGCATTGATTGCTGGTGATTACAAGGAGCAGTATCATAAATTAAGAGATTATTGTAATGGAGTGAGGAAATGTAATGATGGAACAACATTTGCATTAGTTACTGATCAACTCTCCGTAAATCGTCTTCCTGTGTTCAAGAGATTATATGAGTGCATAGGTGCTGTGAAGCGGGGTTTTGTAGCGGGTTGTAGACCCATCATTGGGTTAGATGGGTGTTTCTTCAAGGGTCCATATGGAGGGATATTACTTGTGGCCGTGGGATGTGATGCTAATGACTAGTACTTTCCATTAGCATGGGTTTTGGTAGAGTCAAAGAGCATAGACTCATGGATATGGTTTTTGAACAATCTGTTTGATAACATTAGGAGTATGCAAGAGAGGAGATGGGTGTTTATATTAGAACAACAAAAAGTAAGTCATTAACGTTAATTATTGAAAATGGTATTTGCAGCAAATAATTTTTTTTCTCCGATTATTCATTCGTTAAACATATCATATAGTTTCTTTGTTGTTCATATGAAACTTCGATTGTGATTTGTAAATCAACACTAAATTTAGATTTCTAAATAAAGTTCCTGATTTTGATGATTTCTATAATTGCCAACACATGATGAAAATTATATATATAGATTCCTGCTTATTTGGACGTGGTGAAGGACCACGACTTCAGTAGGGGATGTGCGGTTGATGCTAAAAATGACACCGCTGTATATTGCTAAAAGCTTGAGGCTATAGTAACCTTTGTGCAGTTTCATTTTTACTTTCATATGTTTGATTTAATGACCCATATTGCTACTATAGGGCCTTTTGAGTCATACTTGTGGATATTAGAGTTTTGAAGATTAGCTAGTTGATCAAAGATGAAATTATGAAAGAATGTTGAGTTTGTGGTAGTTGTGCTGCTAATGGATAAACCTAGCCATACAAAAACATCTTTTAATAGATCATTTCTTGTTGACAATGGTTTGTCAGTCTCTTTTTTTTTTTTTAAACCATAGTTGGGAGTTAAATATTCTTTTATAAGTTTAACAGGCTTTTTTTTAATGCTAAAAACAACACGTGGTTTCCCTTTTCTTGCTGAATATTTTATGTTTGTACTTATTATGAAAATGTCCAAATTCAAACTTGCCTTCTGTCTTATGCAGGGTCTTATGCCAACATTTGAAGAATTATTAGAAGGTGCGAAGCATAGATTCTATGTGCGACATTTGCATTCTAATATCAAAGTTAAATATGGAGGAGGTACTCTCATTCGTGACTTAGTTCTTCGTGCTGCAAAGGCAACTGTGCAATCTGAATGGAGAGACTGTAGAATGAGTTGAAGGTTATTTGTAGTAGGGCTCATGATCATCTAATGGCAATCCCTCCTAATTGTTGGACCAGGTCGCATTTTGATGCATACAGTAAATGTGATATGATCATAAACAACATCACGGAGTCTTTCAATGGAAGATTGTTGGAGGCCTAAGAACTTCCCATTGTTAGCTTGCTTGATTGGATCCAGACATACCTCATGACTCGGCTTGCAGAAAATCGAGTTAAAGCCGATAAGTACCATGACAAGGGTACTATTTGTTCGCGACCTCGAAAGCGATTGGATAAGGAAGTTGAAGAGTGTTGAAAATGGGAGGCCAAATATGCCGGAAACAACTAGTATGAGGTGTCATTCAATACTCATAAGTTCAAGGTTGATCTCACTGCCAGAACGTGCAGTTGTTTTTTGTGGCAACTAAATGAAATCCTGTGCAGGTAAAATTATATATGCCTACTGTCTATTTTTAATATTAAAGTTGGTTTTCTTCTTGAATTCTTTGAATTCTTAGCAATAATTATGTTGCAGACATGCAGTTGCTTGTATATATGCTAGGAGGGAGGATCCGCATGATTATGTGGATAAGTATTTAACATTGCAATCATTTGTTGCGTGTTACTCACCTGTCATTGAGCCAATCAATGGTGAAGCATTGTGGGAGAGAGCGGATGGTGAGCCCATTGAGCCTCTGGTGTATCACAAGCATCCTGGGAGGCCAACAAAGAAGCGAAAGAAAGGACTTGATGAACAACAACCAGTT